CTCCCAAGTGCACAAATTTTTGTGCACCAGGCCTCTAGTCTATACTGATAATAGAGGAATATGCAAATTGTCCAAGATGCCCTCACAGTAACAGTAACGACCGAACAGAACAGCAGGCTGCGTGGGGCTACAAGGCCGGCAGGGGGTTTAATGAGGGATGACCGAATGACTGAACAGGAGGCTGTGTGTGGCAACCAAGCTGGAGGGGGGTAGTAAGGAGCGACCAGGCCGGTAGTGGAGGGGTAGTTAGGGGTGTCCAGGCTGGTGGGGGGTGGGCATTTGGGGTGACCAGGCCAGCAGGGGAAGCAGTTAGGGGCGATCAGGCCAGCAGGCAGAGGCGATTAGGGGTGATCAGGCTGCCAGGGGGGGCAGTAAGGGGCAATCAGGTAGGTAGGCAGGTGAGCAGTTAGGAGCCAGCAGTACCAGATTGTGATAGGGATGTCTGACTGCTGGGGATCGGGCCTAAACCGGCAGTCAGACATCCCCTGAGGGGTCCAGGATTGGAGAGGGTGCAGGCTGGGCTGAGGGGGACCTCCCCCCGCCCGTGCACGAATTTTGTGCACCGGGCCTCTAGTTACATTATAATGGAGCTGAAAAATTCCTCTTCCTAGTGACCTCATAGCTGTTGAAATGCAACACTTTATTCACGTGTTTGTGGAGATGCTGGTGTAAACAAACCTGCTGAGTCATATAAACATAATACATACAATTATGTACAGTGCATAATACTTGGTAATGGTAATAACTATGTTACTGGTTTACATTTATTATGTTTCTTCATTGCATCATTATTTCTTGTGCTTGATTTAATCTCATGCTGTTTCGTACAGTGACAGGTATACAGGTTTGTAGTCTAGGAACAATAGGCTACACCATATAGGCTAGGTGTATAGAAGGCTATGCCATCTAGGTTTGTGGAAGGGCACTCTGTGATGCTTGCACAATGATAACATTGCCTAATGACACATTTTCCAGGACATGCCCTGATCACTAAGTGGTGCATAACTGTGGCACAAAGTATAAAAAAGAGGAAAATCTTCCAAAATCCTATCCCTAGGATACCCTCTTTTAACCTCTTGTTTTATATCATTTAGGCCCTTTCATATACACATACCATGTGCACATGTTTTAAAAATTGAGAATACTGTAAAAGCTATTTTGTAATCTTTATTAACATTTCCCCACCTCATTATATACTCTATAATACGCTGCATTGATTTTCACCATGTGGATTTACCACGACTTACATAAGTAACCATAACATTTCAATTGTTTTCATTTTGCTCCTATTTTAACTATATAATATAGATTCTCCTGTGTGAACTTTTAAGCACGTTTCAGTTTATCTTATTGGAATTTATAGATAGAAGTTTTCCACTTACAACCTGTGCTGTTTCTGTTTAGGTCATTGTCAGAAGGGGCCATTGAACATGCTTGCCTGCCGTGCAGTCAGGGGGCCTTGGAAGAGCTTCGTGAGCAGTACATTAAAGCAGTGAAAAAAATCAAGCGTAAGTCCCTAGAGAAAGTCCTACGATTTTCAAGTGGTTTGGGCCTTTTTGTTACTGACAAAAGTAATTTTTGGGAATTTTTCAAGCTACTTTGTCCTAGACTCTTACCAGCTTGCATAAGAGAACATGGATACCTTTCTTCTTTTTTTTTTTAAAAAAAAATATTTTATTGATTTTTTACAGAGAGGAAGGGAGAGGGATAGAGAGTTAGAAACATTGATGAGAGAGAAACATTGATCAGCTGCCTCCTGCACACTCCCCACTGGGGATGTGCCTGCAGCCAAGGTACATGCCCTTGACCGGAATCGAACCTGGGACCCTTGAGTCCGCAGGCTGACGCTCTATCCACTGAGCCAAACTGGTTAGGTCAATACCTTTCTTAATTAAACAGTAATGGATCCTTTTGCCCAAATAATTTCTTTTGAAAGTGACATAGAGGATAGAGTTGTTTTATATTGTTGATTATTCTGTTTCTTTTTTGGACACTGATATTAAACTAAAAATGTTACAATCTTATAACTTAACTGGTAGCAACGAAACTGTCACCTGAGTGTTAAAAACTATTTTTACTACCATCAACTTTTAAGGACCAGGGACAATGGATCTAGTCAGGAGTCATTCTCTGGTTTCTCATTATTTTGACAATGGACTAAGTTGTAGATGTATTTGTTTGCCAAGCCCTTTACAGTCCTAGGTGGTGCAGCACACCCCGTAGAGCATGTCTTCAGTTATGTTTTCCTAGTAGCACGGATACCTCCTGGTTTTTAATTACAATAAATATTGCATAGAATGTGTGTGTCCCACAACAATAACCAACACTTATAGAGAAGAAATGTATACTTACGTCCTAATATTGCTTTCATTTTTAACAAAGGAGTGGAGCAGATTTCAAGTTCCGAATATAATTGGTAGATCATGAGAATCATGTGTAGATGTTTGAAAAGCCCATCTAGTATCAGTTTTTAAGAGGATTTGCTTCTCAGTTGCCGCTTATATTAATAGAGGCTCTATTACTACAAACAAGGCGATTTTTGTTACCAATCATATTAATTGGGAAGTGAAATTTTTAGTATTTTTTCTCACCCTAATATAACTTGTGTGTGTGTGTGTGTTTACATTTTAGAAGTTGGTTGGAAATGTTGTGTTGACATGTACTTTGTTTTCATTTTTTCCACTTCAGATAGTGAAAAGTAGTCTATCAGTATTTTTGCAGAGAACATGTGATTTTCAGGACAAGCTTACTGTCCTCTGTGAATTGGAATCCTTAATATAACGGGGGTGTTGATATTCTAGATGGAGAATGCAGGCCTGGGCTTGGTAACAAAAGTCCACCTTAGCTAAAGGTACTCCCAATCAAAGCATGTCGAGTTACAGATAAAAAGAGATTTCAAAAGCTTGTGGACTATTTTAAATGTGAATTCAGAAGGCAACGTGAGTCCCATTCCTTTCCCTGCAGTAGCACTGTGCACCTCTCTCGTGATGGTGAGGTTCCATGTTGTTGGATGCTCACTGGTGCTGAAAGGATTGAATACATGATGAAACACGGATTTTCAGAGCACAAGGAAACAGAAGACTCTGCATCTCTTCAGCTCCTTTTGCCTCCTTCTGTGTCTGCTATCTCCTCCTTTCTGGCTCCCCTTTCCTGTATATTTCTCTTTTGCTCTTTTAATCAAACCTAATAGACAAGTAAAATGCATATAGGGTGGGGCAAAAGTAGGCTTACAGTTGTTCATATGGATACAATAATTCAGAAATAATGACACAAGGATAAAGTTTCACATACAACTGTAAACCTACTTTTGCCCCACCCTGTGTTTATGGTCTTTTTCTTATCTCAGTGTTTTAGAAGAGGACAGAATCTCCCTGGGGAATGTGCTCTGTGTCCTTACCATATGTGGCTGTTACCATTCTGGGAAGACTTTTAGATTCCTTTGCCTTTGAGTCTACCAAAATAGTGATCGGAAATATTCCCTTTTAATGACTGTGGAAAACTGCAGTGTCTAAATTATACCTGTAATCAGTTCATCTCTTAGAGAATTGGTCTGAAGTCTGCTTCTCTTGTTTTTAAAGAGCTGGTAACAAACGTGCCTCTGTGGGGATTTCTCTGGACCCCACCCCCTCACCCCACCCGCTTGCCCGCAGGTGACATGCTGCGGTACATTCGGGAGAGTAAGGAGAGAGCTGCGGAAATGGTCAAGGCAGAGGTGTTGCGAGAACGTCAAGAAACCATCCGTAAGATGCGCACGTACTACTTGACCTGCCTCCAACAGATCTTGCAGGATAATGGGAAACAGGAGGGGTAAGCTTAAACAAGCATCGTGTCCTTAGAGTACCATGACGCATGTTGTTTTTTAAGCATTTTGCTTAATCACGCTATTAACTGTTTCTACGTGATCTGCCCTTGGGGTTAAGAGAGGCTCAAAGGCTGTGCTACCCTAATGTTGGCAGAGCTAATAGGAAAACAGAAGTCCTGGAGTGAAGGAAACTCATTTTTCCCCTTAAACTATATTAATTTAATGTTCTGGAATTCCCACAGAGCTGAGAAAAAGATTATGAATGCTGCTAGCAAACTTGCTACAATGGCAAAGCTGCTGGAAACACCTATTGCAAACAGATCCCAGAGCAAAACCACAGCGTCAGGTATGTCAACATGAGTCATTGAGGGGTTTTCTCTCTCTCTCTCTCTCTCTTTTTTTGATACTTAATATTTTTCAAATGAAAAAAAAAAAACCCACAGGAAATGTAGGGAGCGAGAAGTAATTTATTAACTTCTGTGTGAAAAATAATGTTGTTTCCAGCTCAAGTAGGCAGACTCAGCAAACCCATCAGCTTCCTTTTGCTGCTTCCAACCCTAGAAATGGTAGAAAAGATGGTAAACAACAACTATACAAGAAGAAATTATAACTGGGCTTAGAAAAGTGTGATTGGTGGGCCAGAAGCCATGAGAAATCCTGAAAGACAGTAGAAGATCGAGGAGGGGAGCCTCCGTTCAGAACTGCCAGAGGTGACAGCCACAGCGGGAGCAATATCAGAACTGTCCCACAGAAGAAGGTGGTGATGTTGCAGGAGAAGTAAGCCTGGGCCATCCCACCAGGAAAACTAGTTGGGGTTCTAGAACAGCAGGATCCAGGTGGGGTCACCCTCTTCATTTCTCCTCCTCTCCCTTCCCCAACCCCAATACTGGGCTGGGTCAGAGCAACAGGAAGAAGGGCCTGGAAGGAGGGCAGTGCTCTGGGTGGCCAGCCACACCAAGGCGGCGCGGAGTGGGAGCCCACATGCTCAGAGGACCAGCTTTTGTATTTTTTAATTTAATGTTTTTTATCCTCACTTGCGGATATGTTTATTGATTTGGTAGAGAAAGAAAGAGAGAAACATTGATGTGAGAGAGAAACATCGATCAGTTGCCTCCCAAAGGCACTCCTGTTGGGGATCAAACCCATGACCTAGGTATGTGCCCTGATTGGGAATCAAATCTCCAACCTTTTGGTGTATGGAAGAATGCTTCAACCAATTGAGCCACCTGGCCAAGGTCAGAGTACCAGGTTTTAGATCTTTCTACCCTGCAGCTCATTTCTTCCCATTCCATTCCCAACTCCTTTAAACCAACAGCAAAACAGCTCATTCAGGACATCTGAAAGGTAAGCATTCAACCAAGAATCATCACATGTTTATAGAAAGCCAGTCCCACGAAAAAAGGCACCAAACTCAAAACAAAACAAAACAAAAAAAACAGAACTTATACCTAAGAAAATAGAATTCGTAGAACAAACAGCAGGACCTGGGAATGTTAGAAAAGTATAGTATGCTCAGAAAAAATGTAAGAGAATATTGTAGCGGAAACTAACAATATGCTAAGATTTTTATTATTTTCTTTTTTTTTAAATTAAATCTTTATTGTTCAGATTATTACATTAGTTACTCTTTTTTCCCACCATAACTCCCCTCCACCCAGTTCCCACCCCACCCTCCGCCCTCACTCCCCACCCACTGTCCTCATCCATAGGTGCATGATTTTTGTCCAGTCTCTTCCTGAATCTACCACACCCCT